ATTATCATAAAAACATAAGTGATATGGTAGTTAAGGTGTTGGAGGAGTAAATGGTAGGGGTTCAAATCCTCTTTGTGTTTTTTTTCTCCCTTTTTTCCCTTTTTTTTTTTCCTTTTTTTATTATTTTTTCTCCTTTTCATCGATATTTTTGATATTTTCGATATTTTAGCGATATTACACTGATATTTTGACAAAATATTGCTGAAGTGTGAGCAAAATTATCGACATCAATATTTTCCAATATTATCATCGATATTGTCGATATTTATACGATATGTACATAGATATGTTCCGAAATATCCGTGATTTGAAAAAATCGAAATATCCTCGATATTTCGTTGATATTATCGATATTTCATACTATGGTCTTGACCACTAATCAAGCGATTTGAGCCGAGTTAGGAACGTTTTCTTGGTCGTTGGGTTCTTAGCCTTGGTAACAAGGCTACTTGTATCACATCGTGTTGAGTGCTTGGAACTATTGTGCTCGGTGTTGTGATGCTCGGCTGTTAAGTGATCTCTCAAGTCCTCTTTGAATTGGAATGGAACAAAGACTTAAATGAAAGAGAATGGATCAAGTGTTGCTCAAACGAACTCTGAAGAACAAAGCTGCTTGTTGATATACTAAATGGATGATTACAATAATGGTGCTCAATAACTTTGAACAAGCTTTAGAGTAGAGGTGTCAAACGGGCCGTGCCGGGCCGACCCATTTAATTTATCGGGTCGTGCTGTGCCGTGCCGACCCATTTAATAAAATTATTGATCCAGGACCCGCTCAAAGCCCATGTCCACATTGAAACGAGCCGGGCGGGGCTCGTGCCGTGCCCGTGCTCTTGCCATACTCGGGCCCAAGAACCAACCCATTTAATTTGAATTTTTTTTTCCACTAGATAATTCAAATTATAAACATTAAAAATATAATTAGAGGCAAGAAATGATGAACTATTTGAAAACATTAATCAATCAAACATCCAAAAAATATGAAGGGGCGGAGGGCAAAAAGTGTCTAACTCCACAAAGTCCACTTCAACTTTTCATCTTTAAACAACTTATTATTTTATATGTGAAGAAATAGCATGCTTTGATTATAAGAGAAGCGTATATGTCATATGTATTGATTAGATATCAAGTCCAATGTTGTTTAATTAATTTGTAGTTGATATGTTTAATTAATTAAGGACCCAAGTAATTTCCCTAAAATGAAAGACATCAAATATATGTTTATGATTTTTTTTTTAAAAAACATATAAACAATGACATTAGATGTCAAATTATTGCATTTTGACTTTTTGAGAAGAAAAAAAAAAGCTAAATGGGCCGGGCTTGGGACGTGCTTGGGCTCTTGCAGTGCTTGAAGTGGGCTCGGGCCAAGCCCGCCCCATGTCAGGCCATGGGTCGGGCCGGTTCATGTTGGGCCATGGGCCGGCCAGATCTATTAGACCTATTTTTTGATCCCGGCCCAACCCAAGATTTCGTACTGTGCCGAGCACGGCCCATTAATATTCGTGCTCGTGTTGTGCCGTGCCTCATTTAAACGGGCTGGGCCGGCCCGTCCCGTTTGACACCTCTACTTTAGAGTTGTGATATATACTATGGTGAATCGTAGAATTGGGCCTAAGAATTGAGTCGTTGCCTCGGGCTTGGATGGAAATTTCAAACCATGGTCTTTGGGCCTTGACTTTATTCAACTGTCTTTTACTTTGGGCCGTAGTTTGGGGTTTATTTTTTGAGATCTCGACCAATCCCGTTGTTCCACAGTCATGGGCTTGCTAGGTCTGAACTCTCAGTTTTTCGCTTTGGGCTTGGATACTTTCGTCTCTAGGCCCAAAGTTTGGTTCAATGAACCTTTGCCACGATATTTGTCCTTTGTGTGGTCAGAGGGAAAAAAAACATCAGGTATAAACAGTCGTACTACGCTGATTAATTTGTGTTGATGATTTGTTCAATGATAGGATGATTCTGCCTTTGTTTGTTTTAGTAATGACTTGGATGTCTTTTTGCTATTCCATGGGATTTCGTGCTTTTGCAAAAGTAGATTCTTTGTTAACCAAAAACGAAATTCCGATTAATATTAAAATTTTACAAAGAAAATGAAGGGACTTACTAACCAAGCACTTTCTTCAATTTCATTACATTTTGCATTTTGGAAGCACTGATGTAATAATTTAAGCTTACCATGAAACCATACAAATAAAAAATAAAAAATAAAAAAACTTCTAAGCTCCAGTAAGAGAAATGTCCATCTTAGACTTATTTTCCTGATCAATGACATCGAGAAAAACCGGATCAACGGTGATGTGACTATCCACGTGGACCTTGAACTTATGATCCCACCACAAAACCTTGGCGGTACCAGCGATATCCACGGCAGCGTCAAGCACCATCTCACGCCTCGCCGCGTCCGCGATAAAGCTACCGGCGTGGTGGGCGAGCTGGAGCCCGTCCAGCCGAGCCGGGAGCTGAATCAGCTGGGACGACTTTGCGGGCTGGGAGCCGGCTTCGACATCTGCCGAGCCCAGAAGTGCGCCCTTGTAGAAGATGGACATGGTGGTGGAGGAATACTGGATGGGCACCACGTTGGGGTTGGTGACTTGGATGGTGAGGATGAGCTCGGCGTCGAGGAGCGGGAAGTTGAGCTTGAAGGAGGTGAGCTTGATTGTGACGACTTCGAAGGTTGGGTCCTTGGGCTTGGAGGAGATTAGAGCCTTTGTTGCTAAAGCCGACGCCGCGCCGATCAGAGCTGAGCTCCAGCTCCAGTCGAGCTTCATGCCCATGGCCATGGTGTTTGGACGAATTTACTGAGAAAATGGGGCGGAGGAGTTGAATTTGAGATCAGAGGATTTGAGTTGAGTGTGTGGTTTTAATGTCGTTTTGGAGTTCAGCTTTGGAAGAGCAGCAACACAAAGTGAACAGGTGGCAGTAGAAGATGACGTGTAGTAGTAATAAGTCCTGATTCTAACTTATGTTAGATTTTTTATCTTTTATTTCTATGTGGTAGTCATTTCTAGGGGTATACATCGGTTTTAAACCAATACAATTTAGTCAATTCAATTCGCATTTGATCCAATATAGATTGGATTGTGATTTTTTCAATTCGATCCAATTATATTAAATGTTTAAATTGAATTCAATCCGACCCAATTCAATTGATATTGAATTGAATTGGATGATTGGTTTTGATAATGGAAAAAAAAACAATAATGAAATATTAAACATTTTAATAGATATAAATGTAAAATATAAATGAAATACTAGAGAAAATTATTTTGCTTATACAACTATATTAAATGACTTAAAGTATTCATAACATTTTCAAGTACAAATACCTATAAGAGCAAAATAACCATAAAACTAACTAGATTGGATTAAATTGGATTCTCATAAGCAAATCCGCCAAATCATCGAAATTGATTGAATTTGGATTGGTTTGAATTGGATTGGATCTTGTACACCCCTAATCATTTTTCAGAGTTAACTGAAAGACGTAATGTCCAAGAGAGATGACCAAATATTGGGGTCAATTTTGTCCCTCCACCTTATTGGACCACACCGTTGGGCCTTCTTTTGGCACAGGTTGTTAGAGCACTTCCACCCATTTTGACATGGCAAAGGGCAATGGCAAGTAAGGGCAGACCCTATTCACGTGAATAGTGATTGTCCTACCCTTTTTTATTTTGCTTTCCCATCCATTGTCATTGCAAGTAAAGGCAAGCACTATTTACATAAGATATGAGGAGAGGAATTGTACAGATTTTTGGTGTGAGAAGTAAAGAACATGGCTAGGTATTTATATATAAAAAATTTATGAATTTTTTAGTGGAGGTGCAATTTTGAAAGGCTAAAAACTCTTTGTGGATTGAACATCTAATGCTTTTTACCTAGATTGACCTTAGGTCCTTTCATGCATTCATATCATACATGAAAAATTATTTTATGCAAAAATATTGACCAAGTATGAAAAATGGTTTTTCAGAAAAATCATTTTCTCAAGATAATTTTTGGCGGCTTTTATTCCTTACACATCAAATAAGAAAACTTGATTTTATGGGATTTTAGTATGAAGTATATATTAACTTAATGAGCCGTCATTTTTAGCATAAATCGTATTTTGCACTAAAACCGATTTTTCATATTTTGATTTGGTGGGAATTTGATTTTCTAGTATTTTTATTTGAATCCAAATGGGGGGTAATTCCTTATTTACATTATAAACTTAAGTAAATAGAGTAATATAAAAATAAATGAAAGTGAAAGGATAAAGACATTTTTTATTTATTTTTAGTTTAAAATATTAAGCTATATATGTTTAATTATATTTTTTTCCTCAAAACCTTCCCTAGGCTACAGCCCAGGGCAGACCTTGGGCTAGTTCCGCCCCTGGTGGTTGGGGGTGGGCCTTTGTGATTTAGCCACCGAATAAGTAGGGGTAAAAGGTGTGGAGGGTTGGAGGTGGGTGAACGTGCTCAATGGAATTTTAGTTTTTGTTAATTTATTTTTATTTCTTATGTTTATGTTTTTTTTTTCTCACTCTCATACTTCAATATTAGTTTTTGGCCGTGAAATTATAGTAAAAATAGTTGATAATTAAAATATTATATGACTTAATTTTTTTTTTTAATTAAAAAAAATCTAATCTTAATCTAAGTATACACTAAACTCACGACAAGTCTTATCCAATTTAGACCAAACTAATAACAAACAAGGCCTTCGTGCATTGGATTAATTGTGTAACAGTTGTGACTTAACCAAATTACCAAATTAGCGCGGATGAGCAATCAACCTTCTCTCGGCCTATGTTCTTTTTCAACTTTTGAATTCAAGACCTTAGTAAGCTCTCGGACTTATATTGCTTTCGAATCCGGACTTATTACACGCTAACATTTAAATGAAATACTAAAGTGACACAAATATTTGTTTGGATTCCAAATTGGGACATGGGTCAAAATTCAGGAAACAAATTTTTTATTTTAAACCCTTGATAATAACGATTGTTTATGTTATTTTCAATAATACCACCATTCTGTTACTCAAGTTTGGCAACCAACTACATCACACAACAAAGCCAGCAAGAAGCCTTTAGAAAGAAAATTAAAAACACTTCTAATTTCTGAAAACATGGGAACTCAACTCAAGCAAGAAAAATCTCCATCTCCAACTTATTTTCCTGATCAATGACGTCAAGAAAAACTGGATCAACGGTCACGCGACTATCCACGTGAACCTTAAACTTGTGATCCCACCACAAAATCCTCGCCGCCCCAGCAATATCCACAGCCGCGTCGAGCACCATCTCCCGCTTCGCCACGTCAGCAACAAAGGTAGCGGCGTGGTGGGCCAGCTGGAGCCCGTCGAGCCGCGCAGGCAGGCGGAGCAGCTGGCATGACTTGGGCGGCTGAGAGCCGGCTTCAACTTCGGCCGAGCCGAGAAGCGAGCCGTTGTAGAAGATGGACATGGAGGTGGAGGAGTAGTGGACGGCTGTGATGTTGGGGTTGGTGACGTGGACGGTGAGGATGAGGTCGGTGTCGAGAACTGGGAGGTTGAGCTTGAAGGAGGTGAGATTGATGGAGATGAGGTGGAAGGTTGGGTCCTTGGGCTTCGACGACAACAGCGCTGTCGTCGCTAAAGCCGACGCCGCTCCGATAATTGCTGAGGTCCAGCTCCATTTGACCTTTTTGCCCATGATCTTTCGGCAAATTTACCTCTCTATTCGGAGCTCGGACCGAGACAGCTGAGATTGAGGGTTTGAGTTGAAGCGACTGTCGTTTCGAGTCTAATTTTGGGATGTGGGATGTTGTTGAAAGGCCAAGACAAAGTGGACAGATGGCAGTAGGAGATCGCATATAGGACAATGAGTAATGTTTCGTTTTTCATTGGGTTGTAACCGTTGTATTTGCGGCCACTCAAAAATTTTATGTTACACAATAATGTCATGGGAAATAATTACTGGGTGTACTTTTCTTCATTTTATTTTATAGAAATTTTAGAATTGTATTCATAATTCAGTCAAAAAGTCACTAGTCATAAAGGTCCAATACAAACTAACTATAAAAGGCCATTACAATAATAGAGCGGTCTAACATCAAAATTAAGACTTGGAAAAAAAAAAAACATCAAAATTAAGACAATTTGGTGTGTTTCCACCAACAATCACACATGGTTGAAGAAACTCTGACATAGACATCTCAACAAAGATTGCAAACTCAGAATAATAAAAAAAAGATAAAACTTGAAAAAACCAAGCCATAATTAACAATACAAATAAATTTCTCACAAAAGAGATATGAAAAGCTTTCACAAAAGGAGATGTGAAAACTACACAGAAAACCCAAAGAGTCTCTGTGACTTATTTCGAACATAAAAAAACCGCAAAAAGGATGATGATGGAGATTCGACATCGAGACGCAGTCGCTTGTGATGGTTGAAGGATAATCTTAACAAAACAAAGACAAATAGGGAAAACCTTTTGTTTCTGAATAAGGGGAGAAGAGAGGGAGGAAGAGAATAGTGGAGAGGAGAGGAAGAACAACGGCTTCCTCCCCCTCAAAATGAAAATGGCTCTAGGAGGGTTTGTTGGGAGAGAGGGGACTAGGGTTTGGGAGAGAGGGTTTTATTCATTGGGTGTGTGAAGGTTTTGAAAACTGACATTAGCTTATTTTTAACCTTTTAATTCAACAACGTTGTTAAGTGTAATTTTGACATGATTTACTTAATATGTGTAATTTACAAGTAATATTGCATGCATATTATCTTAAACCTTATACACAATTTCTCCTCTGTTACCCTAAATTAATCTCTCCAAACTAAGATAAGGATGCAAATCATGAAGAAAACAATAAATCAGCACAGACATTTTAGATGATTCAGCTTATGCAAAGAAAAAAGAGTTCACAGATACATAAACACAATAGAAAATCCCCCACGTCATGAAAGTCCACATTGTAATAATTAAATAAATCAAGGAAGGATCAGCTGATCCAAGATTTTAATGATTAGAAAAACGCTACCCCTTGACCTCGCCCATTTTCTAATTCTCATAATCTAATATTAGAAAATTCTTCGGCTGTTCTTTTAGATGTAATTTACAGAGTCCACTATACGTATTGTTCAATGTATACATGTTGTTACATGACAGCACGTTTAGAGAGGCAACTTAGAAACAGTTGTCAGTGGAGAAGAAGATGTGCAAACCATACCACTTGTAATAGTACCAAACCATGTTTCCCATCGAGAGCTTCCTTCTTTCCTATAAATGGAAAAGATGTGCTTTAGGATAATCTTAACAAAACAAAGACAAATAGGGAAAACCTTTTGTTTCTGAATAAGGGGAGAAGAGAGGGAGGAAGAGAATAGTGGAGAGGAGAGGAAGAACAACGGCTTCCTCCCCCTCAAAATGAAAATGGCTCTAGGAGGGTTTGTTGGGAGAGAGGGGACTAGGGTTTGGGAGAGAGGGTTTTATTCATTGGGTGTGTGAAGGTTTTGAAAACTGACATTAGCTTATTTTTAACCTTTTAATTCAACAACGTTGTTAAGTGTAATTTTGACATGATTTACTTAATATGTGTAATTTACAAGTAATATTGCATGCATATTATCTTAAACCTTATACACAATTTCTCCTCTATTACCCTAAATTAATCTCTCCAAACTAAGATAAGGATGCAAATCATGAAGAAAACAATAAATCAGCACAGACATTTTAGATGATTCAGCTTATGCAAAGAAAAAAGAGTTCACAGATACATAAACACAAAAGAAAATCCCCCATGTCATGGAAGTCCACATTGTAATAATTAAATAAATCAAGGAAGCTGATCCAAGATTTTAAAGATTAGAAAACGCTACCCCTTGACCTTGCCCATTTTCTAATTCTCATAATCTAATATTAGAAAATTCTTTGGCTGTTCTTTTAGATGTACACAGTCCACTATACGTACGTATTGTTCAATGTATACATGTTGTTACATGACAGCACGTTTAGAGAGGCAACTTAGAACAGTTGTCAGTGGAGAAGAAGATGTGCAAACCATACCACTTGTAAAAGTACCAAAGCATGTTTCCCATCGGGAGCTTCCTTCTTTCCTATAAATGGAAAAGATGTGCTTTGTTGTTCCATGCATATATTGTTCATCAATTAGTGTCTTTGAAATTAAGTTAAGATCAAGATGAATATGTCTAGCACAGCTGCAGTGGTAGTAGTAGCAATTGGGCTCGTACTTTTGACCTTCACGGGCCAGTGCTCCGGTGCACTGGAGGTAGGATTCTACCAGGGAAAATGCGGCCGGTTTGTCGATGTTGAAGGTATTGTAGCCGGCGTAGTCAGGACAAAATTTTTCAGGGACCGGACAATCGCTGCTGCCCTCATCCGCATGCAGTTTCACGATTGCTTTGTCAATGTAAGTCTTTCCTTTTTTTAATAGTAAAACTAAGGTTTATACTCTATTTTATTTGAACCACATTTACTTATCACGTATGTAATATGTATGATATCCGTATGGACTCATATGAGGGGGATTCACTTCTCTAGTGTTGGAAAATAAGGTGATCAGTAATGTGGTCCAAATAACAGGATGATATTTTTCTTTTATTTCCTACTGCATGAGCTAATGCTTTCATATTTCTCAAAAAGGGATGCGATGCATCCATTCTATTAGATGGAAGCGCCAGCGAGAAAACTGCTTCTCCAAATCTAAGTGTACGGGGTTTTGATGTCATTGACGCCGCAAAGACTGCCGTGGAAAGTGTATGCCGGGGAGTTGTCTCTTGTGCTGATATCATTGCCATTGCTACCAGAGAAGTTGTTTATTTGGTAAGCAAACCCTATCTTTTTCTCTGTGTCAATTTTGAGTTTGATGATTTTATATGGAATCTAACATAACTACATCAGCTTCATTATTTTAATTAAGCTTGTACTGATTAGTTCATGGTGTTGAAATTTGATTATGTACTTTCAGAGCGGAGGAGGGCAATACAATGTTCAAACAGGGAGAAGGGATGGCTTGATATCCCTTGCAGCAAATGTTGACCTCCCAGCTCCCTCAATATCAGTGCCTGATTCAGTTGCAGCATTTGCAAGAAAAGGACTCAATATGACTGATATGGTTCATCTTCTTGGTAAGTTGGTACTAAAAAATATAATTCATCTGTTTTTTTTCTCTCTTAATATTCTTGTTCTTAAATTTCTGCCCTACTGCTTGATGATGTAGGTGGTCACACTGTTGGGGTGGCACATTGTTTTCTCTTCCAAGATCGTCTTTACAATTTCCAGAACACCGGAAAACCTGATCCCGACATGAATGTAGCGTTACTAGAAAGGCTGAGACGTATCTGCCCTCAAAACTCAGCAGGCACCAATGCTACTAATTTGGACCAGAACCCTCAAAGTTCGTTTATTGTCGATAACTCGTTCTACAAGGAGATAGTAGCCCGTAGAGGAATTCTTCAAATTGACCAAGAGCTAGCTTTGGACTCCATAACTCAGGCCACAGTGACCGCCTTGGCGAATAACGGTACTAACAGCTTCGCCACTAAATTCGGGCAGGCCATGGTTAAGTTGGGAGCAGTTGAAGTCCTTACTGGCTCACAAGGGGAGATTAGGAGATCATGCCGGGCAGTTAATAAACCTGGTTTATTAACTTTTAATTGAGGAGACATTTCCGTTTGGTTGTTTTGTTGTATTTTATTTTGATCTGTTCTGTCTTCATGTTTTGGTTCTCTGCTTTCACTTGCTCGGCAATTCTCACTTATCCTTTCTTCTATTTTTTTTTTTGGAAAATTACAATAAGTCAATAAGAAAATATGACACCGTTGACAAGCCCTTCTGTTACATTTTGTGGACAACTTATAGCTTTACCTAGCCAACTTATAGCTTTACCTAGCCTTGTGTATCAAGACAGAGATTGTCTCCTTAGTTTTGGCATAAAACCAATTTGATGTTAAGCTGGAACAGGCATAACTTAACCTTTCATATTGTTGTCAAGAACTAGGACATGCGCTCGAAGATGTATCGGGCCTACTTTCTTGAAAAAAATGTACACAGCAGAGAGAGGTGTGAAACCAGACCATATGCTCAACCGAATGGACGAAGATCCAACAAAGTTGGAGGTCTAATCATATACTCCTATTCTACTTATTTTAATGTCTAGTGCCGATGAAGATGAGAAAAAGTTAAAACCTTCTTGGTATCTTATTCACGAGAAGTAACAAACAAATTAACAACTGTAGAACTTCATGCAACTACAATAAGAAAGACATTGTAATCTTCATCTGCAATTGACATCAGATAGGCCCTGCAGCAACAGTATCTTCGAACCCAACTGCATTCTCTTTTGATACGACTCAGTCCACACTCTACAATTATTGCCCTTTATAAGCCCCCAAACCTCATCCAACCACCCCATATCACAGCTAGCAATAGCATATTAGTATATTTTTGAACAAATTAATCAAGTTTTTCTTCCTAAGAGCATCCCCAGCGCGCACAACAAAGCCAGGCAAAAGGCCCCCCGAGACAGCCCAAGTCACTCCAGCGCAGCAGCCCTTGGCCCGGTTTGGCGTGGGTCCCACCAGCCCTGGCAAGCCCAAGGGCAAGTCTCCAGCGCGCACAACAAAGCCAGGCAAAAAGCCCCCCGAGACAGCCCAAGTCACTCCAGCGCAGCAGCCCTTGGCCCGGTTTGGCGTGGGTCCCACCAGCCCTGGCAAGCCCAAGGGCAGGTTTTGTGACGTCAGCGCTGGCGTCACGCTGACGTCAGCGCAAGGAAAATCAATTTTTTTTTACTGTTGGCGCGTGAATTACACGCGCCAACGGTAAAAAAATTTGACTTCCGCGCGCTGACGTCAGCCCTGTCAAACTCCAACGGTTATGTGACACGTGTCGCAACCGGGACGCTCCGATCTTTTTTTTCCAGAAATCCGACGGTCCTCGTTTTTTTGCCCAAAAAAATTGCAAAAAATATCGAAAAAATTCTGAATTTTTTTAAAAAAAATACCAAAAAATTATGTATTTTTTCCCTATAAATACCTAACCATTTTATTTACTTTTCACACCAAATCTTCATACAATTTCTTCTCCATGCAATATTTTTTACTCTCCACTCATATTATTCACTTCCCACACCAATTCTCAATACAAACTCTTATCATTCCAATATTTTTTCCTCTCCACTCACATTTTTCACTTTCCACACCAATTCTCCATACAAACTCTTCTCCTTCCAATATTTTTTACTCTCAACTCACATTTTTCTACTACTTTCCATTTGTATAAAAAAATAAAGAGTTAGGGAAATGGAGAAATGCCTTGACAAAAGCAAGGGAGAACATTCGAAGCGGTCAAAATCTATCCGATGAGGTAAAATATTTATATTTGCCATTTTAATCAATTTCAAGTAACTTTTTTTTTTTTTTTCATATTCTATTTCTTTTTCTTGCATAATTTTTTTTTTCTTTTTGCATATTCTATTTCTTTTTCTTGCATAATCTTTTTTTTTTCTCTTTTTGCATTTCCAATTTGTCTATATTTTCTTGCATAATCAATTTTATTTTTGCATTTCCAAATAGTTTATATGAACTTCCATAATAATTTTTTTTTCTTGCACTTCCAATTATTTATTTTTAATAGATCATACAAGCACAAATGTGGTTCGGTGCCATGGGGCAAGGCAAAAAAAGTTTTGTGCATTTCCAATGTTGGGAAGTTGTGAAGAATTGTTCGAGATTCAAAATTATTCTCACCGGTCCGCCGGTTGTGTTGAATGAGACGCCGCTCCACGATTCGCCATCAACCGATTCACCATTGGACTCCCCAATGGAAACGGAGTCACCACTTCCACGTCCGCCAAGACCTATTGGGAGAAAGGCGGCAAAGGCCAAGAGATGTGGCACTTCGAACAATGAATGTGTACAATTATTGGAGCAAATAGCTAAGAACACCTCACTAAGAATTGAGAGAGACTTGAAAAGAGATGCATTGGACATGGCACGAGAGGAAGCATTTGCAATTCAACAGCAGCAGGCACAAGAAAAAGACATGGATGATAAAGAGATGAAAATCATGGCCATGGATACGAGCCATATGTCTCCTGAAACAAAGGCCTATTGGAAGCTAAGACGAAGGGATGTGATGAGAAGAAAACTTTTTCAAGATGACGGACCTAGCAATACGGATTGGTTAAATGATGAAAACCATTAGGTTGTATTGAAACACCTTTGCCATATGTTGTATTGTTGTATTATCCTTTAATTTGTTGTATTGTTGTATTATCCTTTAATTTGTTGTATTGTTGTATTATCCTTTAATTTGTTGTATTGTTGTATTATCCTTTAATTTGTTGTATTGTTGTATTATCCTTTAATTTGTTGTATTGTTGTATTATCCTTTAATTTGTTGTATTGTTGTATTATCCTTTAATTTGTTGTATTGTTTCCTTTTTATTCAATAAACAACGCATTAAATAATATGACTATTTATTAAAAACATTTGAGCATCAACACAAAGATTAATTAAAAACACACCTTAATTTATTGCAAACAACACACAAAACAAACCATACATAAGAGCATAATAAAAAAAACGAGCATAATTCCAAAAAACACCACACACAAAATAATAGACACGTGACAACCAAAAATCTTATCTGAAAATTTAATTACAAAAGATTATCAAAATTAATGGTTTAAAGTATAAAAAAATAGGAAATAAAGTACAATGAATAGTATTTGCCTTAGACTTGCCCTAGACTTAGCCCTCATGGGTGGAACCAAAAATGCAAAGGCTGACACTATTCACGTGAATAGTGGCAGCCCTTGCTTGCCCTTGCCCTAGACTTAGCCCTTGTGGGTGGAGATGCTCTAAAATATGATTATGGTTTGAATACTTTAGATGAATTGTATTTTTTTTCATAAGGAGATATATAGGAGTTTACAAGGGTGTTTTACGAGGAAATAGATACAGTAATTAATTAGGAGAATATCTCATAATTATACAAGGATGTGTCAACTATATAAAACAAGGAAGTAAATCATCTTATTAACTTAGGAAATAAATCTCCTTGATTTAGTAGGTTAACTCACGTCAACACTCCTCCTCAAGTTAGTGCATACACGTCACCAATGCCCAACTTAGTAAGTGAGTCATAAAACACTTGTCCATAGACAACTTTTGTTAACACATCCGCTAATTGATCTTCTGATTTTACGAAGGATAGATAGATGATCTTGTTCTCAATTTTTTCTTTGATGAAATGTCTATCCACCTCAACATGTTTAGTTCGATCATGTTAAACTAGATTATGAGCAATATCGATAGCTAACTTATTATCACAATGTAACTCCACTGGCGTCTCTAGTTTAAAACCCAATTCTATCAAGAATCCTCTGATCCATTATAATTCACAAACTCCTTAAGCCATTTCTCGATACTCTGCTTCTGCACTAGACCGAGTAACCACATTTTGTTTTTTTACTATGCTAAGTGACTAGGTTACCTCTAACGAATGTAAAATAACCTAATGTAGAGCGTCTATCTGTAATGGAACCAGCCCAATCAGTATCTGTATATCCAAAAACTTCAAGATTTTCATTCTTTGAGAACATCAATCCCTTTCCAGGGGTTGACTTTAAGTATCTTAAGATCCGTTCAACTGCATTCTTATGAGAAACACTGGGTGAATGCATAAACTGACTAACCACACTCACAACATATGCAATATCTCGTCTTGTGTGTGCCAAATATATCAATTGTTGGAATTTTTGTGAGTATTTCAAAATACAAAATTTATTTTATTATTTATTTTATGTTTCCAGATTTTGTGTGGTTTAATTACAAGTTTAAACTGAATTTATTTTGTAAATTTATTAGATGAATTGAGTGTTATGATTTGATTGTATATATTAATTTTGATTTCAAAAGCTTATTTGCGTTAGTTATAGTTGGAACAATTTTAGTCTTCAATTGGGATAATTATTGATTGTTTTAATGGTCTTTATGCAGCTTTATTCTAAAAGCTTTGGTGTGGCAATTTCATACAAACTTAATTGGTTTTCAATGCCTTTGGCATTTAAAGATTTGAATTCAAAATTCATTTGCGTCAGTTTTTGTTGACCAATTTCTATTTTGCAATTACTACTTTGTTTTGCCATTAATTTGGTGATATTATAGCTATTAAGTTTGTGAAAACGGACAGACAATTATGTTGCTTTATTACTATTTCTTTTAATGTCTTGGCTCCTATAAACACCCTTTGAGAATAGCTGGAAAAGGGAGAAATTAGATTGACACATTTCTTCATTATTTTCCCCTCCACATTCTTGAGTTTGTGTTCCAATTTGTTTTCTTTTATCAAGGGAAAGATTCGAGTTGTTCATCCGACCCAAGTATTGCGAGTGTACGCTTATAAGGGTCATAGGTTGTTGTATCCTGGAGGGTAGGGCGCCATACAACCTTGCTACATCGAGACATTGCCTCCGAGGGGCGAAATCTACTCTTAAGGACAGTGAATGACACACCTCAACCTAAAACTATTATTCTACTCAAGTATCAGGGAGAACGATCTTCTACATCCCAAAAGATAAGTATCTTGTTGTAATTTCATTAATTTTATTTAATCTACTATATCAATATAAATTACAATTTTCTAATAATTATTTCTGTGGTGTTTTGCAGGAAAAGTAGCATCCCTAAACCAAATTATCCAACACCTTCCGATAAGGCATTGGTATTATTCATTATTGGTTGGAAACCGGTCCATGTCTTCACACAACTTGTGATTCATTTCAATGGGTGTGAAGCATGCTTACATCCAAGCATTCCTGTTTCAGTGAGTAGATCCATCACATACTTCCTTTGAGACATAAATATACTAGTTTTTGACCTTGCTACTTTAATTTCGAGGAAGTATTTCAAAGCACCTAAATCCTTCATCTCAAATTCCTGAGACAAATACTTCTGTAGCTTCTGTTGCTCTCCTGTGTTGTTCCCAGTTACGACCATGTCATCCACATAAACAATTAATGTAGTGATTTTTCCTCCATCATGCTTCAAGAACAAGGTGTGGTCTGAATTACTTTGAGTGTATCCAAAATTCTTCATGGACTTAGTAAATCTGCCAAACCATGCCCTGGGAGATTGTTTTAATCTATACAATGACTTTCTGAGCTTGCAAACTTGATTTTTATTGTCAGGAGCTAAATTACATCATGGTGGTAAATCCATGTATACCTATTCTTCTAAGTCTCCATGTAAGAAGGCGTTTTAACATCTAATTGATGTATTGGCCAATCTAGATTTGCTACTAGAGACAGTAGGACTCTAATAGTGTTGATCTTGGCTACTAGAATAAAGGTCTCTTAGTAGTCCACCCTATATCTCTGTGTGTACCCCTTCGCAACCAATCTAGCTTTATATCTTTCAATGGATCCTTCTGCTTTGAGTTTCACAGTATAGATTCACTTGCATCCCACCGTTTTTTTTGTGAGGTAAAGGTACGAGCTTCCATGTGGTATTCTTTTGGAGAGCTCACATTTTTTCATTCATGGTTTCTTTCTATTTTGAGTCTTCTAATGCTTCAGTCACACTATGAGGGACAGAGATATCAGCCAACTGCTTCACAAAGTGTACATGTGACTCTGATAATCTGCTTAGAGATATATAATTATTGATTGAGTATTTTCCTTTGGCTTTAAGATTTGCTTCATATTGTACTCGAGGTTTACCATGGTTCTTCCTTTCTGGAAGTTGGTATATATGGGTATCTGCATTCTTTATGCTTTTTGAAATCAAATCATCATGGTATATTTCATTAGTGTTATCAGTTTTACTGGGAAATGTTATCTGAATGACTTCCTTAGAAGGTGATTGGTGTGGTATTAGAGTTGAAGGCCGGTCTAGAGCGGGAAAAATCTCAGAAAATAGTTCAACTTCCTCATCCTGATTTTGGTAGCGTGGAGCCGACCGGTCATTTTCCACTGGCGACCGGTTGTTTTGACACATAGGCTCAATGTTCGGCAAAGGAGGACAAAGGGACCGATCGTTTAGGCAGAGCGACCGGTCGTATTGACACAATGGCTTCACCTGTGCAGGAATAAAGAGGGGTGACTAGTCGTGTAGGAAAGGCAACTGGTCGCTTTGAGGCAGAGACGCCTCCTATGCATTGATAAAGGGATGCGACCGGTCGTTTTGGAGGGGCAACTGATTGCTTTGATGCCGAGTCTCTTCCGTTGTGAAAAAGTCCAAAAAAATCAGTGTGTTTGGCTCTAGATTCTCCTCATGTGCTTCTGAAAAATATACGTCATGTTCTCGGAACACTACATCCATGAAGGTATAGACTTTCTAACTTGGAGAGTGATAACATCGATAGCTTTTCTGATGAAGGGCATAACCAATGAAAACACACTTTTTTGCGTGGGGATTCAATTTGTTGCGTTGGTGATCATGTAAGTATACGAATACAACACAACCGAAAATTTGTGGTTCAAGGTTTGGGGTAGGAGGTATTTGGAGATGGTGGTGAAGTGTTTGAAGATGAGTTTGGAAATTCAAGATACTTAAGGGAATCCTATTTATAAGGTAAGCTGCAGAGAGGACGACCTTCCCCTAAAAAGATCGAGGCATGTTGACACCAAATAAAGGTGCATGAACGACTTCCAATAAATGTCAGTTCTTTCGCTCAGCCACCCCTTTTTGTTGGGGAGTATATGGACACGAGCGTTGATCCTGTAAGAATTTTTTGAGATCATGATTAAGAAATTCTCCGCCATTGTCAGAACGGAGAACTAGGATTTGGGCATGAAACTGAGTCACCACTATTTTATGAAACTATTGAAACGTTAACTGACTTCCCCTTTGGTTTTGAGAAGGGTAACCCAGGTCATTCGGGTGCAGTCATCAATGAAAGTGACAAACCATCGAGCTCCAGCCGGAATAGTGATTTGAGCAGGCCCCCAAACATCGGAATGAATAAGGAAGAAGGGAACCAAACTTTTATTTGTATTTAATGGGAACAGAACAGGATGGCTCTTAGCCAATTCACACGTATCACACTGGAAGCTGGAAACATCAAAATTGGAAAATAATGATGGAAACAACTTCTTCAGATAACCGAACAAGGCATGCCCAAGACGTTTATGCCATAACCAAACTTTGTCTCTTTGCCTCTCAGAACTAGCTCCACTTGTTGTGAAAGCTTGACCAAC